CATTTCTGCGATGTCACTCTTCATTCATCTACCTTTTAAACCTAATCACAGAAGTACATGGGCTTGGGTATTGGAAGTCCTGAAAAAGAATTCTAACTTAGTTATTTATTAGCTGGTGACCTTAAAAAAATTTCTCAACCTCTCAGAATTTTTCTCCTGTCAAATGAAGTTCCACTGTAGGATGTGTGAGCATATTAAATGATACACAGCATTGCAACATAAACTCTAAGAGGTTTGCACATACAAGATATATTTTTTTCTCTAATCTGCACTTCAGGGTGCATTGATCTTTTCTTTTTCTGCACCTCAAGACCAGGAGTATCTGATTTCTTCCTTTTGACACCCATAGACCCCAATTAGCCCTTCTATTTTTGTCCTCTTTTATGAATAGACTTTAAGGTGGCCTTATGGTTCCTGCCTCCTAATATTATGCCTTTGTTTAAGTCTCAATTATTGAATGTAGGTGGGGCCTATGACTTGCTTCTCATCAATACCATATGAAAAAGTGATGACACTTCACTCCCGTGATGTTACATTGTCTAAAACTCCATCTTGCTTGTAGGCTTTTTTATGTTTTTGAAATTTAAAATTTTATTTTATTTAGCTTTACTGAGGTATAATTGACAAAATACGTCAGAGGTGTTTGAAAACCGAAGTAACTCCACGTTGAATAGGAGCTAAGAAAAATGAGGCTCAGACCTACGGGGCTGCATTCCCAGCTGGTTAAGGCATTCTAATTCACAGAATGAGATAGGATAGGAGGTTGGCATAAGATACAGGTCATAAAGACCTTGCTGATAAAGCAGGTTGTAAGAAAAAAGCTGGCCAAGACCCACCAAAGCCAAGATGGCCATAAAAGTCACCTCTGGTCGTCCTCACTGCTACACTCCCACCAGTGCCATGACAGTTTACAAATGTCTTGGCAATGTCAGGAAGCTACCCTATATGGCCTAAAAAGTGGAGGCATAAATAATCCACCCCTTGTGTAGCATATCATCCAAAAATAACTGTAAAAATGGGCAACCAGCAGCCCTCAGGGCTGCTCTGTGTATGGGGTAGTTGTTCTTTTATTCCTTTACTTTCTTAATAAATTTGCTTTTGCTTTTTACTGTGGACTCTCCCTGAATTCTTTTGTGCGTCAGATCCAAGAACCCTCTCTTGAGGTTTGGATCCAGACCCTTTCCTGCAACAATTAGTCTTGTCCTTTTCCTCCTTTGCTGGTTTTGGGGAAGGAAGCTTCTGTGCAATTCAACAGGGCCTGTGGAGAGGGACACAAGGCAAGGAACTCCTCTGGGAGCTGAGGGTGGCCTTGGGCCAACAGTCCTGTTTTATGGCTGCAAGGAAATGAATTCTGCCAACAACTTGAGTGAATTTGGAAGTCAATGACTTTTATAGGAACCTCTAAGGCCAGACAGAACAAGAATAAATATCCCCATTTAGAAAAAATGGTTTCATGATGGTAAGGTTTGTCTGATCCCTGCTTCTCCAATGTGAAGAAAGCATCAGGGAACTAAGGAATCTGGGTTGTCTTCTTGCTGGTGAAAGAGTAAGAAGAGACTATTTTGCCCCTCACAGACAAACACAAAGCTCCCCCAGCCCCTCCTGCAATTGGACAGCAGGTCCTCTGAAACCTAGCCCCTGGAGAGTTCCTGATGCAAGGCCCGTGGCCAGATTCCTGCAAGGCCTGACTGTCGGGAGTACCAAGATGCCCTGTTTCCCCATCATTTATTTCCCCCAGTGCCAGGGAACATGTGGTCCAAGCTGGATGTGGAGAAGGTTGGTGCACCGCCACCCCCCCTCCCCCCGCAACAAGGGCTGCATCACTACACCTGTCCAGTGGAGATGGGGCCGATGCCTTCCCTGTCTGGTGTGTGACTGCCTCTGGTTCTCAAAACCATGTACCTCTGGGAAGGCCAGCTGTACTCCAGCAAATGACAAACACTCCCTGAAGGTGGGAGAGAGTAACGAATTTGAGGAGCCACTTTCCCAGCTGTCCCCATCTCAGCTTGGCTGCCATGGGCTATCCTGCCTGCATTTCCACACTCGGAGGCAGCTGCCACACAACGAGACAGCTTCAGGTGGAGGACTGGCCTCATCCCACAGCAGGTGCCATTCAATGCCTTCACTGCACTCCCTGGATCCCATTAGCAGGCAAATTAGTGTGGAAGCTGGAACAACTGTATGTCAGTTTGCCACCATCTGGAGAGGCCCCCTCAGGGCTGTTGATTGCGGTGAACGAAGGGGATACTGTGTGTCAGCCTTGAGCATTCTCAGAGCTTTGGAGCCAGCACAGGTCCTATCATGCTTTTATTATGCCTTAACTGCAAGCATCAAGCCCACCCTGGGCTTAAGGGACAGCCTCAACTTTCTTATTATTCTGTTTCAAAGTCTATGAATCTGCATGATTTCATTTTTCTAGTGAGAATATCTATAGCTTTCATTATAGTTTCTAACAGTTACTGAGTTTTTTTTTTTCCAGATACTGTTCTAAGCACTTTCCATACATTTATGCCTTTCAATCCTTATGATAACCCCTTTGAGGTGTGTATCATTACTACATCCATCTTACCAGGAGAAAACTGAGAGCTGGAAACAGTAAGTAACTTGTTTAAGGTCACACATTGAGAAAGTGGGAGAGCAAGATCTCAAACTCAGATTGCACCACACAAGAGTCTGCAACCCAAAAATGGCTGCAACATCTTGTTTGAATGAACCCATTTGGAAAATAACATTACCTCCCTCTTCCTTGTAGCTCAAGACAAGGTTATTCATAAGGTGATTGTGTCTATTTTCACTCGCTAGTGTGGTACACGATGTGATCCTTTCAAATGACTTGCTCTAGGACCCATTTCTGCATGTTTAGTTTCTTTTCCTCTTTCCCTTCCTTTCTTCCTTCTTTTTTCCTCACCCTCCTTTTTTCCCTCTGTCCCTCCCTCCCTCCCCCACTCCCTCCGTCCCTCCCTCCCCCACTCCCTCCGTCCCTCCATCCCTCCCTCCCCTCCTCCCTCCCTTCCTTCCTTCCTATGTTTAGTGTAGCAACTGAAAGTATATAGCTTGATGAAATTTTTCATACATAAACATACATGTAATCACTACTCAGATCATAGTATTAAACAGAGATCAGCAAACTTTTTCTGTCAAGGGACAGATGATAAGTAATGTAGGTTTTGCAGACCATATGGCCTCTGTTGTAACACTCAACTCTGTCATGGCAGTGCAATCCAGCGTCCACAGAGCATATGTAAGTGAATGTGCGTGGCTACGGTCTAATAAAACTTTATTTACAAAATCAGGTGGTATCAGATTTGGCTCATGACCATAGATGTTGCTGTGCCTTGATAAGGACTATTTCCAACACCTCAGAATGTCATACTCAGTACTAACCCACCTCACCTATCCAGAAATAACCACTACCGTGACATTTAGCACAATATGCAGTGTTTGTTTTTCCAGTTCTTGGACTTCATGTAAATAAAATCATATGACACATATTCCTTTGCATTTTTTTCGCTCAGTAACACGTGTATGATATTCATGTGTGTTTGCATTGCTGCATATATTAGTAGAAAAATACGTTGTTGCATATAGCGGTAAAAATATAAATATAATTATCAATTATATTTATTGTTGCTTTGCATGATTTTGTTGTATGACTATACTACAGTTTATTTTTCTGTTCTCCTGTTGATAGAAGTTTGTACTCTTTTTCAAACTCTTTGGGGTATCATATACACTCCAGGGGGTGAAAAAAATTACTCAGAGCCTTTTGAGGAACTTGTACAAAGACAGAAAAATTGTGAATAATATCTTGATTGGTCCCCATGCTAATTAATTAATTAATTGCTCTGCTACATTCTTTGAGAATATACACTTGAATATATTCAGGGTTCAAGGCAGCTTAAGTTAAGGGGTGCTTCTACTTTCTCAAACTCTGGTTTGAAAAGGGTAAGGACACATTTTTCAGGGACTATTTAATGAGTGCCTTCTGGATACAAGGCAGTGAACTTGGAATCCAAAGGCCTGGCTCTCTCACACGGGAGATCTGAGCCTTTGGCTGTGAGAAGTAGCCTCTCAGCCTCTTTTTTTCAAATGTGGAGGACAGTATATGTGAGAATAAAAATGTTTGTGAACTGCAAATTGCCATTCACACATAAAGTGGTATTATCATTACATAAAAATATATAAATAGTGCTCCCTGTCTTCAAGGAGTATCCGGTATAGTAAATAACAACCACAAAGCATAGTGTGTGATCATGTTGTCTGACAGATACTGACAGGGCTTCATGCTTGGACCAGACCCAGAGCAACGGGGTGCTGAAAATGCCTTAGCTGCCAGATAGAGCCTCATGGCTTGCTGATGGATGTGAGGCAAAGGAATCAAAGATAATTCCAGGAGTTTTCTGCCAGAGTCATAAAACTGATAGAGTTGCCATTGATTGGGCTTGGAAAGAAAGAAAGAAGCAAGTTTTGCATTTTACTGGGAGAATGGACAGGATTTTCCTATGAGGAGGAGCTGGGAAATTACAAATGGGAAGTGCATCTCAAATAAAGGGGAGCTGGGGGGACTTCTGGGAAGACCGACTGGTTAAATAAAGGGGAGCTGGGGGGACTTCTGGGAGGACTGACTGGTTAAATAAAGGGGAGCTGGGGGGACTTCTGGGAGGACTGACGGGCTAAAGCTGAAGATGTAGTGAAATAAAACAAACTGTGTGATAAACGGCGTCTGGCCGGAGAACGTGACGTTCGTCCAGTGTGCACATGAAGACAATGGAAAGTCTTGTAATAACAGAACTTTACAGCCTTAAGAATCAATCCATGAAACCCTAAAAACTTCTAATTGAATCTCTCCTACAGGCCAATTGCTCAGTAGCGTATTCTGTGAGAGGCATCCAACAGTATTTATAAAATTAGAAGCAAGTAGTTGCTGCTGTGTTGATTCTCATCTGTTCCATCACAAGCCACACAAGCAACTGTATTTGGGGTCTTATTTGTGATTGCAGGAACTGAAGTGGAGAGACGCGTGATGCTATCCTCAGAATTACAGAAACAGACATTTTCTCCAAGTTATTCAGGAATCAAGGGTGTCCAGGGAAGGCCAACCATAGAGAACATTCAAAGCAAAGTGAAACATAAACCATTATGCCAGAAGACCTGGATGTGTTCTTATCCAAGCTGCTCAATCATTCAGTTATTCTGGGCAAGTTACCCACTGAGCTCACCGCCTTCATCTGCAAAATGAAGGTGATTGTCCCTTCCCGACCTTCCTTCCAGGGCTGTAATAAAAGTATAATAAGATGCTGTAAGTCAAACACCTTGCACGCTGCGATGCACTAATCAAAGTCTCTTTGTCAGTACAATGAATTAGGGCGGCAAACTTGTTCCGTTTCTCATCCCTGCTCATTTTCCACAGATCCAGCCATGCCAACTTTTCAGACTCTTGTTAAAAATCTGTGGCTTGTAATTCTTCAGGATACTGCTAGGATGAGGCTGAGAAAGACAGAGCAAAGAGGGGGGATCTCAAGGGCTCACTTTAGAGGGAGGCACTGTTAGATGGACCTAGATGCGATGGTAGCATTTTTTTCTGCAGACAGGACATTGCAGTGGAGAATCTGAAGTTCTCATCGAAGAGCCCCAAGTGGTCCTAGAGCACTTTCACCTTTCAAGCTCTTTGCCAATCATTGCTACTTCTCCCAAGCTCTCTGTGAGGCAAGGAAACTTTAGGAGGCTGGCTTCGACATTTTGAAAATGGAACAATGATTCTCTTTTTTCTTTTCTTCTTTTTTTTGACAGCCTGCTACCCCTCAGGCAGGCTCATCGCAGCCCTAAATGCCAGCAGACACCCGCACAGCTGTCCTGGCCTCAGTGGCTCGCACAGGCTCACTGGCTCCATTTTGGAAGAGGCCCTGGGGCAGAGCAGAGCTTTTTCATTGTCTTCTCTGTTGGGCTTCCCTAGCCATTGAGGAAGAACTTGCTCTTGGAAGAAGACAAAGCTGCCTGTGGCAATGTGTGCATAGTAATTATCATACTTTTAAATAAATCACCTGATGCCTCATAATTAAAAAGAAATCCACCAAAACATTACAAAAAATCGTGGTTTATGGGAAGAGGCAATTGTGTAATAAATTGTTCAGAAGCTGAAATTTGATCTCAGATGACACTGAGTTCAAATCTCAGTTCTGTTAATTATGGAACAGAAGCAAACTTGGACCAATCACTGCAAGTTCCAAGCCTCATTTCCCTAATCTATGAAGTGGAGCCAGTAATACCCAGCATGTAAGATTATTGTATGGCTCACATAACACATATAAAATGCTTCCAGTCACTGTGCGTAGAGACTTAACGCCTGTAATCCCAGCACTTTGGGAGACCGAGGTGGGTGGATCACCTCAGGTCAGGAGTTCAAGACCAGCCTGACCAACATGGTGAAACCCCATCTCTACTAAAAATACAAAAAATCAGCTGGGTGTAGTGGTGGGCACCTGTAATCCCAGCTACTTGGGGAGGCTGAGGCACGAGAATCACTTGAACCCAGGAGGCACAGATTGCAGTGAGCTGAGATCATGCCACTGCACTCTGGCCTGGGAGACAGTGCGAGACTCTGTCTCAAAAAAAAATTGCTTCCAGTCTTTGTTGGTGCATGGCACACTATCAAGAGATAGTATTTTGATAATGAAAAATAAACGTGCTCACGTTCATGTCCCACAAAAGTTAGCTAAAGTGAGAGTGTGGGTAGACTTAAATTATGCTAGAAAATTATGGTCATCAATTATGGTAGCTTGTCTTGTACCTGATAGGTTCACACCTTCTTGTATCCATGCCCTTGGATCGTTCCCTCCCACACAGATGCTGGGTTTGGCCATGTGACTTGCTCTGGCCAATGGGACGAGAGCAAACATGATGCAAACCAAGACTTGAAAAGACCAAGTGTATTAGCGCATGTTCTCTCTGGTGGCCCCTGGACCCCTATTGAGAAGCTATGTGAACCACATGCCAGGGCTAGACTGCTGGAGGATAAGACACATAGGGAGAAGAGCTGGGCCAGTTCAGCAAGGGTTATACCAGCAGAGCCCAGCCCAAACTGCCAACTCGCAGAATCCCAAGCTAAATAAATGGTTGTTGTATTCAGCAAGTTTTTGGTGGCTTATTATGCAGCCATAGATAATTAATGCTCCAATTCTCCAGCATCTGAGAAAGGACTAGGTTGGTCTTCCCTTGGTCTAGGAGCCCAACAAGTCCTTGGGTCCAGAGGAGAATTTTATTGGCCCAGCAACCTGAACATTAATGGGACATGGAAGAATTTGTCAAAGACCTTTAGTAGAAATCTTTGTCTGTGCTTAGTAAACTTCCAAGTTTACAGTCTGAGTAATCATACATGTCTTATGAAGTATTATGTAGGTTGGCTCATCAGCTCCAGCTTGCAGCAGAAATCCTTGTTGCAATAATTGATTAGCACTGAGCTGGGTGTAATCAATAAAGCACCACTCATAGGAGATCATCATTTCAGCCTTCATTAGAGGTGGCTTGGTTGTTACACAGAGGCTATTTAGAGGCAGTAAATGAATTCAATTTGCTTTTTTTATTTCCAGCCTAGAAAGTTGGACTTGGTCCTTTTTTATTCCCAGAGTTAAGAAAGAGATTTTTAAGATTAATTACATGAGACTGAATTTATCCATTTATTTTTTATTTTTATTTTTGTTTTTTTCAGACGGAGTTTCACTCTTGTTACCCAGGCTGGAGTGCAATGGTGCGATCTCGGCTCATCGTAACCTCCGCCTCCTGGGTTCAGGCAATTCTCCTGCCTCAGCCTCCCGAGTAGCTGGGATTACAGGCACGCACCACCATGCCCAGCTAATTTTTTGTGTTTTTAGTAGAGACGGGGTTTCACCATGTTGACCAGGATGGTCTCGATCTCTTGACCTCGTGATCCACCCACCTCAGCCTCCCAAAGTGCTGGTATTACAGGAGTGAGCCACCGCGCCCGGCCTGAATTTATCTATTTAAAGGTGATCTTGGGGAAACCGAAAGAGCAGTGAGGCCGAGAGGAACTGGAGAATGAGATGGAACTGGGTCACCTCTGGTGGTACTCAGGGGTTGGCAGCCAGGACTCCTTACCTGGCAGCTGAAGTCCTCATCTGCCCTGGACCATTTTCTGAGCATTGTGACCAATACCATTGCTATAAAAGAGGAGGAAAACCTGTGCATGCACCAAGCCCAGTCAATGCTCTTTCTTGCCCAGGCTGGCAAGAGACTAGGAGCAACGATCTTTATCTTTGTAGGGTTAACAAGCAGCACCAGTAACAACCATCATCAGCTGCTAAAGAGGGTCCATGAATTAGACATTTTATGAGTATTATCTCTAATTGTTACAAAACAGTAGGTGTTATCATTCCCCATTTCAAAGGAAGACCTGTGCCCAGAAATGTTAAACAACTCATTCCAGGTTACAAAACCAATTGAGATTCAAACCCAGGAAGACCATGTCCCTTCCACTGCACCTCATTGTGTCTTCAGAAAACCAAGCAGGACTAGCAATGTCTCCAAAAGTCCTGAGGTCCAGCTCCTGCCCCTGGAGAAGGCTAGATCAAGATTATAAAGATAATCCATACTTCTGTGAATATGATAAGCAGAGAAAATCCATATGTTCATAGAGAATATTACAGGCCCTCCATTTTCTAAAGCTGGAGGTTTTCTTCTGTTCTAAGAAGCCTAAGTGTCTAAGTCCATTTTCTCCAATTCTGCTTTCACTGGGGATGAAAACCCCATTTACCTTGGCTGCAGTGGGAAACTGAGAAGATGGCAACTTAGGCAGTAGAACCTGGAAGCTGAGCAGTGGTTCTCCTTCTTATTTTTGAGATGGAGTCTCGCTCTGTCGCCTGGGCTGGAGTACAGTGGTGTGATCTCGGCTCACTGCAGCCTTCACCTCCTGTCTTCAAGCAATTTTCATGACTTAGCCTCCTGAGTAGCTGGGACTACAGGCACCAGACTGGTCTTGAACTCCTGATCTCAGGTGATCTGCCTACCTCAGCCTCCCAAAGTGCTGGAATTATAGGTGTGAGCTGCCATGCCCAGCTGCGCCCAGTTGGCCCTCCTTCTTTAAAGCATCCTCTCATCATTCATTCATTCATTCATTCTACAAGCATCTATTATCTAACATGTTTGTTTCTAATGTTGTTTCTAGTCTTCACCTGCTTGTTATCTAAAAGGCTCAACTCATTTTATAGTCTGTAAAATGTGTATAATAAAAGGGACTCCAGCTGAGCCCAAAAGTAATTAAAAACTCGGGAACTCCCACATGTAACTGAGGGCCAAGCCAGTCATACCTGGAGTAGGTGAGATTTGTGGTTCTTAAAAGAGATGGAGACAATAGCTGCAAGGATTCTGTACAGGGTCGGTGTAGACAGCAAGTGTTCAGTGAAGGACAACCGTCAGTATATTGTTACATAGTCAGACTACTGAAACCAACTCAGAATCGATTCATCAAGTTTTGAGAATTTTAAAAATTAAATTTGATGCTTTCTATAGGAAAGAGAAAGACCCCAGTGACTTATGATTTGAAGAATGTGGATTTGAATGCCAGCTCTGTCATTTATTAGCTTTCCACCTTTGGGGAATGTTTTTAAACTCCCTGACTCTCAGTGTTTTTATCTCCCCAGTGCAGAAATATTTGCTGAGCATTTCTTATGAATTCAACATTTTTCTAGGTTGTTGAGAATACAAAAATATAAATTAGGATTAGATTTTGACCTAGGACCTAAGGATTATCTTTTTTTTTTTAATTTTAAGAGACAAGGTCTCACTCTGTCACACCAGCTTAAGTGCAGTGGTGTGATCATGGTTCACTATAATCTTACACTCCTGGCTCAACCCATGCTCCTGAGTAGCTAGTACAATAGGCACATGCCACCACGCCCAGCTAAATTTTTTGTAGAGAAAGTGTCTTGCTATGTTGCCCAGGCTAGTTTCAAATTCCTGGCCTCAAGTGACCCTCCCACCTTGGCTTCTCCAAGCACTGGGATGACAGACCACTATGCTCAGCCTAACCTAGGCATGCTTATAACATGGCTGGGAAACTGAAGGGGAATAGTCAGAGGGGAGGTCCCAGGAGGCAAAAACTTATGGGATGGGGAGATGTTCAGATCAGAAAAAAACAGAGGAGAGAGCTTCATGAATTGTGGGACATCAGCTGAGCCTCAAAGATGAGGCAGGCGTTAGATACAAATGCTCAGAGAAATGCAGTTTCAACAAAACATGGAGAGGGAACAGTGACCTCCGGCTGGAATCCCTGGTGTGTTCAGGGAAATCTGAGAGGACCAGTACAGCCAGGGCAAAGCTTCCCAGCTAGCAGCAGCAGTGAGAAAGACGCACAGGAAGAGCTGGGTCGCGTTAGGAGGGAGGCCTTCAGAGCCCGCGAACTGTATTTTCCCTCTTCTTTTGTTCAGACCACCTTCGATGTGAGGTACCAGAAGTAGCTTTGCTTTGTTTGCTTTGATAAAACCTTCAAAAGGGAAGGCGATGACGAAGTTGTTTCAGGGAGAAATGTTTTCCTTTCTTAGGGGATTAGTCAGAAAACAGCAAAGCTGGCCAAAAGCACGTTGCCCACTGCGTGCATTGCGGGAGGCAATGTCCATGGGAACTCAGAGCCATCCTCAAAGACAGACTTTGGTCTGCAAGAGACAAGCTGAGATTCCTGATTTTCATTTCTGATAACTCCTTTTCTAGATTTATTAAATTTTTAAGGTACTTTCCCCAAGTCTACACTCCCTGAAGATTTTCCAAAGAAATGTCAGTAGCAAAGTGCTTTCTTTTCTTTCAGGTTCTTGTGCCTGCATTCTTTTGGGTGGGCTTCTGTAACTTCATTCTCTTTGTTCGTGTCGGATGGGCCTTTGTTCTACCTCCTCAAAAACATGCCAGGGGAGAGGAATTGGTCCTGACACATCAGATTCAACACTTCTGAAACACAGATCCCCAGTAGAACTAACCCGAGCACTTTGGCTTCAGTGTGGTATGTGACACTCTGGTGTCAGTGTACGAATGTGTTAGGCAAATTCTCTTGCTTAATAATTCCTTTTATACTTCCTTTCAGCTCTGATGTCCACCAATACACATATAAAAAGTAATTGGCAGCAGAAGGGGCATTTGAGGTATCAGATTAACAGTGATCATGGCTATGAGTCTCCAGGACGAAAGGCCACATTGCCAGCCCTGAATACTCAAAGGACATAGGACACACAAGAGGACAATGAAAGTCAATCAATAGCTATGAGCAAATGAGTTCACTGCCCTGCCTTCCACAAACTTCCCTATCAGTTGGTGAAGAACAAGTTGGTCATAGCTTTAAAAAGCTGAAAAAGAAAAAGAGAAAATATTCAGTCACCTGGACAAAAACTGAGGCCTGAAAACCTGCTCTCCTATTTTTTAACACAAAGATGAGTATAAGCATCGATCCCAAGGAATACTGGGTTCGCAGTTTTAAAAGTGGAGTTTCCTCTTTTGCTAGAATTATGAAAAAAAGTTGTTTATATATGATAGCAGGTTCTCCAGATTCTCTTCTGTCTCTTGTCCTCTCTACACTAGTTTGAAAAGAGGATGAGGATGAATAAGCTCAAAGGTGGAGGCAGCCATGGCCCGGGGTCCTCCCGCTGTGTTCCCATGTGTGCCCCTCTTCCATCCCAAAGATAAAATAAAACCTCACATTACTTCCTGGTGGCTCTGACCAAAGAAGACAGAACAAGCCTCAAATACATGAATTTTGTGCTCTGAATTTTGAGAATTTATTTGAAACAATAGCTACTGGCCAACTTGTGCCATGGTCAGATGGGTACATTTCATTTAATAAATCAAAGGGAATTGGCAAGAGGAAGGCCTGGGTGGCTTTTCAGTGGGTCTCCATACTACTTGTTTGAGGCCTGCATAAAAGCTTCTACTGGATAACGTCATGGGCTGACCCTTTCATATGCAATGACTGTGATAGAAAAAGGACATTTTATTAAAAAAAAAGAGGGAGGGGGAATACTCAGGCGACCAACAGTTACATTTTCTTCTGCAACAGGCAGATGAGAATAGACTCAGTGGTGTGAGCTAGTTCATTCTGATTCACAAGAGCTGACTGTTGAATTTTGAGGAATTTTGTGAGCCATTGGTAGCTTGAAATTAGTCATGGTGGGACTATTTAAACCACAGAAATTGGCAATTGCTTCGAATTAGGACTCCCCAGCCCCACCCTAGAAAGCTGACTGTTATTTACCAGCACAGCAGTGGGAACAGTCCAGATAACAGTCCTCATTAAGAATTTCCCTGTGCTCCAAGCTCCTTGAGAAGTGCTGAAACAAAGGTTTTGCTCAAGTATTTGTCAAGCCTCAGTTGGGGAAACCCTTTAGCCTTCTCGATGCAAGGGCATTGTTTTTAGTTTCTTTATCACAGTGAAAGGCACATTCAAGACTCCGAGAGAAAGTTATTGGTTAAAAGTTATACACAAGTGCCGTCAACTATAAAGGCAAAGAACACATAGGTAACACTCATACTGCCTCCAGCCCATCTTTTATCTGAATTGTGCTGAGCTCTAGAGAAACAGAACCCTAGACAAACTGTTGGTCACTCAAAGTTTTGAGTTGAAAAGAGAGGGGCTTTATTCACATCCTGTAGCCAAGTCTGTAGAGGGATAAAAATATTTCCCTCCCTTTTTCTTTGCTGTTCCTCCTATTCATGTCTCCCTGTACTCTGTCTGTCTCTCTCTCTGCCTCTCTCTCTTAGTCTCTCTCTCTCTCTCTCTCTCTCCCTCTTTCCCTGGGGTGGAAATCACAGGCCCAGACCCACAGTGAAATATAGTTATAACTCACGTTTGCTTCGTTTAAGATGAAAAAGCCAGGCATTCCTTCTCTATGAAAGTATACATATCACAAAGAGTAAGTAGGACCCTTCAATACAAGTGTTTTAATCAAGATATTTGCAGTTCTGCCCATTTTCCCTCAGAATGAATGTAATAAAGATGTTATGTGACATTTATATCAATGTTCCAGGTACTGCTTTGCATATATATATATATATATGATATGTAGGCATTGGCCTAAATTTCACTCAAAGATACAGCATCTTTGCCTGAGAAAAACTGTTCTTCAATTAAGAAAAATGATTGCATGAAGGTGCTGGAGAGAGCAAGCTCACTTCGGGATTTTCTCCTAGAGTATCCTATATGGCCCTGTTGTGTTCTCTTGGCTTTTGTCATTGAGTTTTCTCTCATTAAAGCAACTTTGGTGGTATCTTAAACAGCACTGCTGTCTGCCGAGTCCACTAATGTGATGTTCTTCACTTCCAAATCCATCTCCTTATCCGCAAAAGCTATTCGCTGGCACCTCCTAAGAGGGTTTGGGAATCATACTAGCAAGTTGCTTTCCTCCTTACCATAGGATGCTCATCTTCCCTCTGAGGCTCTGCTGATAGCCTCATTGCATGTGAGTGTGTGGAAATCCCAGACGTAAAGCTCAGGACACCAGAATCAGAACATTTGCAGCCATTTAGTCACACCCTGCTTCTCTTAGGAAACAGAGGCAGGAGGGTCCATGTCACTGTCTCTGAACTCGGATAAGGCATCTGCAGCTCACCACAGGCCTGTGTTTTCCAGCCTCCCTAGGGTCAGAATTGTGTCTCCTTTTCCCTCAAAAGCAATGGTCTCTTTGATCAAAGTCTAGAAGATGTCATTGGGCTATCCACTATCCCTGCACCACAGTCATACACACAGCGACCTCTCTGAGGTGACCTACTTCACTTGAGGACGGGTCCGACTTTTAAAAATGCCTTCCTATTATTGAACGAAATTTCCTGTTTTTTTCTACTTGTGGAGTCTAGTTCTAGCCTTTGAAGTTGTATAGAAGTTTTACAGTCGAACCAGCTTCATACAGTCTTCCCTGCCACGGTCCTGCACTCACAGAACACACCCATTCTGCTCTTAGGCACAGGAAACTGCATTTTAGGTGGACCTGTACTAAGCATATAAAGCCTTAATATTAAAACCAAGTAAAAGAAGTGACCTGGGGAAGAGGAGTGCTTTAGAATTCCACAGCCCCCGCCACCCTGATGTACTCTCCCGAGGAACTTAGTTTTCTATAGAGCAGATCACCTGATGTATTGATACTCATGTCGAGGCGTGTTCTGTATTTCTCTCTTGGTTCAGCGAATTGTTCTAGGCCCCTCCTAATCTCTCCTTTTCACTGCCTGCTTGTGTCAAATATTTTATAAATGTTGATTGACAGCAATTTTTCTGTGGTATATAAAACCTAAGACAACTTAAGATCCTGAAAATGGGATAATATCTTTGCTACCAGAAAGTCCAGGATGGAGAGAAGGCATTTGGAGGTGCCATTTGACAGAAGGATTGTGAAGAAGGTGAGGCTTTGGGGAGGATACCAGAGG